GGGGAGAGTCCTTCTCAGCCCTGCCTGGATACACCAAGAATTTAACTTGGGATCTTTTGCAGTCAAAGCATGTGCCCCACCACTGAACAATGGTCCTTCCCCACACTGGGAGATATGAAAGCTGATAGGAACATTCTACCTGTAGTTCTATCTCCCTTCACATATGAAAGCCATTCCTTGATGCTGCCGTCAACAAGTGATGGAGATGCATTTCTTAACTGGCCCTCAGGAAGAAGGAGAATGGGCCAGAGGAACCATGTTCTTTTGGGATGCAAAGGGAGAAAATGTGAAGGAAATATGCATACTTTAGAGTAGCTTCCCCTAATTTTCTGCTCTCCAGGTAACGCTGACTACAATTCCCATCACCCTTGGCCACTGGACATACTGAGCTGGAGGACACAAGGGTGGAGGAAGCAGCTCTAGAGTCTACTCTATATAGAAGGCTGTGAGCTCATGATAGCTGCCAAGAAGATTTGTCTGTAAGTGGTATCCATAACTTGTTACAATGTAGTCCAAGGAATCAATGACACCTTATCTACTCTTTAGGCCAGTGTTTCCCAACCTTGGGCCTCCAGCTGTTTTTGGACTACAACTCCCATCATCCCTAGCTAGCAAGACCAGTGGTCAGGGATGATGGGAATTGTAGTTCAAAAACAGCTGGAGGCCCAAGGTTGGGAAACACTGCTTTAGGCTTCATGTCAACCGAGAAATGCTAGCAGCTTTCTGTAATATAATCTGTATCTCTTCTGGCTTTTACAGTACTAGCTGAGCATCCTTGAGATTTGATATTATCTTGCTAGTCTCAATAAAGTATCCGAGGCTGAGATATTGTGTCATATGGATGCATGGTTGTTGTATGTGTTTTTTTAAAGGAATAGCAAGACCCACCCTTGCCCAAAATACATTCTCATGAAAAGGTCTGGGGGAAATAGTAGAATTATTTCAAGCTGGAAAGATACAAAGGAATGCTTTGCAAATTTAATACTGCCATTAAAATACAAAGTACACATGCCTGTATGGTGATAGTGGGGATTCTGACCACAAATTATCCCCCCCCCCATTTGAAACTGCTTTTTTTTTTTTTACACATATCTGTTGCATTTTGAAGGCAGCTCAGGATCATTAAAACAAAAAGGGGATTGCAAAGAGCTCCCAAAGGACTTCTCTGAAGTGAGTGAATGGGTGTTAAGATGGCAAATGTAATTCCATGTAAACAGTGCAAAGCAATGCATATAGTGGCAACAAATCTTAATTTCACACATAAGCTCATGGGGTCTGAACTGGTGGCGACTGACCAGGAGAAAGACCTTGGAGTCATGGCAGATAGCTCAGCGTAGATGTTGACCAAGTATGTGACTGCTGTGAAAAAAGCAAATTGCATCCTAGGGATTATTAGGAAAGGAACTGAAAACAAAACTGCCAACACCATAATGCCATCATACAAAACTACCTTGTGACCACATTTAGAATCCTCTGTGCAATTCTGGTCACCTCGCCTCAAAAAGGATCTTGTAGAGTTGGGAAAGGTTTCAAAAAGGGCAACCAAAATGATAAAGGGTATGGAGAAACTCCACTAAGAGGAAAGGTTACAGCATTTGGGGCATTGACATGACGGAAGCTCATATACATTTGCATGGTGTGGAGAAGGTTTTTGCTCATAACACTGAAACCTGAGGACATCCAATGAAGCTGAATGTTGGGAGATCCCAGGACAGACAGAAGAAAGTACTTCTTCAGACAATGCATATTTAAACTTTGGGATTTGCTCCCACAACAGGCAGCGATGGCCACCAACTTGGATGGCCTTGAAAGAGCATTAGACAAATTGATAGAAGATAAGACTTCCAGTGAGGCTGACTCCTTTGTGGCTACTAGCCATGATGGCTATCCTCTGCAGCCAGAGGCAGTATACATCTGGATACCAGTTACTGGAAACCACAGGATGGTAGAGTGCTCTTGTGCTTCAACCTTCCTGTAGGCATCTGACTGGCTTCTGTGAGAACCAGAGGCTGGGCTAGACTGCCTAATCCAATAAGTTACAGGTAGGTAGCTGTGTTGGTCTGCCGTAGTTGAAACAAAATAAAAAAATTCCTTCCAGTAGCACCTTAGAGACCAACTAAGTTAGTTATTGGTATGAGCTTTCATGTGCATGCACACTTCTTCAGATATGAAGATATGAACTTAGTTGGTCTCCAAGTTGCTACTAAGGGATGCGGGTGGTGCTGTGGGTTAAACCACAGAGCCTAGGACTTGCTGATCAGAAGATCGGTGGTTCGAATCCCCGCAACGGGGTGAGCTCCCATTGCTCGGTCCTTGCTCCTGCCAACCTAGCAGTTCGAAAGCATGTCAAAGTGCAAGTAGATAAATAGGTCTGGAAGGTAACGGCGTTTCTGTGTGCTGCTGTGGTTCGCCAGAAGCGGCTTAGTTATGCTGGCCACATGACCCAGAAGCTGTACGCCGGCTCCCTCGGCCAATAAAGTGAGATGAGCGCCGCAACCCCAGAGGCGGTCACGACTGGACCTAACGGTAAGGGGTCCCTTTACCTTTACCTTAAGGTGCTACTGGAAGGATTTTTTTTTTAATCCAACAAGGCTATTCTCATGCAATGGTGTTCTTAAGGCAACAGGGCACAGCCAAAATCAGTCTATCATTCTCTTTCTTACAACTGGAGCAATCATCTGCCACAGTTGCATGCAATGCTTGAGCTTAGCTTGTAGTCCAAAGCATGCCCAATATAGGTCCACCTACTTACTGGAATTTATCTGAAGTTCCTCCATGTGATTTACCACTTCTTTTTTTCAAAGTATAAACATTTACCACATTGACCTAATACCAGTGACCTAGCCAGTGCTAATTCCATTCAGAATTGCCATAATAAAATGTTGAAATCTAGTCAAAGTTAAAGCCCATAAGTTGCTTATCTCTGTTCCATTGAAGATGAAGAAGACTTAATTCTGGATTGCACGTGAAGGTTTTTTGGTTTTGCATTAAGCTCAGCTAGGTATTTATGCCATTTTAGAAAACAGATCCAGAAGCCTTTTGAAACTGCCTATCTTACACTGGGGGAAAAATGCTAGCCAGCCAACTATTAATGATAACACTTCCTTTGTGCAATACATCTTGTAAAGTTATCTCCATGAAAGAAAGAGTGCTGTGTAATGGTTCTCTGTTCTGTAATGAATGACTGGCTCATTTTTTAACAAAACTACAGTGAAGAAATGATGGGAGAAACCAGAGGATGAGTTGCACAATATGGCACAGAACATTGAAAAAACTGTATTCCTCCACAAGACGTTTAAAGGAAAGTCAGCCAACCTTTTGAAATGCACACTTACATTTGGAAAGAAACCACACATTTTTTATCGTGCCAAGCAAATTTAATTGTCTGTTATCACATCCTAAAGCTCAAAACCCAAGTAACACATAGCAATGCAGTCAAGAGCTTTTGACTAGCAGCTATTTTATCTCACTAATTACAACAACAGTGTAAGGTTGCAGATTTAGGGCTGCTTCAAGCCACCAATTGAGTTGGTGGCAATTATGAGACCGGAACTGGAATATACTGACTCTAGGCTCAGTACCTTATTATCATTACCACCTCTCTCTTCCATAAGAATGAAGATGTGATGCTGATAAGAACCACTTATAACAAATCTGCTTATGACTAGCAATTGCGTGAACCAAACTAATGATTATTTGGCACTGCAGCAGATACTTCTTTAACTGCTGGTATTTGGCTGTTCACTCTGAATCTACAGTTGGGTAACAACCTGCCTAATATTATTAATACCAGAGAAACCGCTATTAGGTTTCGGAGAGAGTGGGGGCAAAAAGAGTGGAAGAGAAGATGGAGATAGAAGGGGAGAGGATGGAATACAAATAGTACACACACACACACACACACACACAGTTGCAGACTGGAATTAAAGGTAGTCCCTGGGTTTGCAAATAAGCATTTCCTACCAGCACCAAGCTTGCAAGTAAATGATTTAAAACATTTGTTCAGTAACAGTGAACTGATAAATGAAGATGCGTATTCAATTAAATTTTACTCAGAGTAAACCTGTTGAAATTAGTGGAGCTAAATTAGTCATGTTCGTCAATTGCAATGAGTCTACTCTGGGTAAAACTTAGTTGAATGCCGCCCAAAGAAAACTACGTTTAGGGGTGAAATCCTCAAAGTTATATTTTCAACAGTGCCAAAAGACATGTGCTTTTGTATGTTCTAACATCTTCGTTTTCTGAGATCTGTTGAAACTTTGAGTCTTGCCTGCACAGAATATTGTAATAATTGTGTGTTTATCTCTTTCTTCTTTCTCAGCCCAAGCTGTTTCAGTTGGGCTTTCTCCTAAAAAATTATGCTTTTTTATTGCATCCTTACTCATTAAATATCTTTCCATTTTAAGCTATATCCACCATTTAAAAATCCATTTTCTAAACCTGCAGCCCATTGTGGTTTATTTTTCCTCAAAAAGCAAAGCCTTCTTTTCATTTGAATTAATTGCATGCCATGAGCTGTATTCGTAGATTTGTAAATAAGCAAACGTTAGTGCACAGACACAAGCCCCACTAAAGCATTATGTCTCTTCATTGCTGCATTAGGGTTTGCTTCTGTAATCAATGGAGCTTGCACATGGCCAAACCAGACACAGAGCAATGAGCCATTTTCTCTCTCCGGACAAATAGTCTACATTTTGCAGAGTCCTAAGTACCTAGAAATAGGTCTGCAATGACGAGTGCCCCCTTAGTAACTCTGATATCACTTTCATGATGCTGTAATAATATGGCTGCAAGAAGTTTACTGGTCAACATCCATTTGATTAAAGTGGGAGCTGATAGCCTTTAAGGATGAATAAGGCTTCGCGAAAGTGCAGTTCCATGGCTATGTAGCATGCAGTTATTCTGCAAAAGAAACTTGAAGGTTGCACAAAATAAAGAGCACAAGGGTGTTAGGCCATCCAAGGAAGACCACACAAGATTACTTTATTGAGACTGTAATGGGTTACCTTTGTGCCATTCCCATTCTCATTACAATCAGTGCCACTAGAATGGATTCACGTTGTGCCATTTTCTGCTCTAGTTGCACTAAGAATGAAGCATTTAAATCCACATACAATCTTTGATTGGTTGATCACTCCTCCTGTACTCCCTTTCATGAAGCCCTGGCAACCTGAAATAGTGAAATTGTCAGAGGGTCAAAATGCACTTTTGGAAAGGAAAGTTTTGTCCTTTGATTTCTGTTCTTTCCCTTCTCCTACTTCTTTCCCTTTTACCTTTCCCATTCACAGTACCTCTAATGACTCTGAGAAGTAAGTGAACAAAAAAAAACAACAACCCCCCAATTGTATTAACTTTAGTACTTCTTACAGTTTCCAAAAAAATCTGTTTACACATTGCATGGTATGTACTGTATAATCATTTTTTTCAGGCCACTAGATGGCCCCAGATCCAGAAAGCAAGTTAGCAGCTTGTTCCTCCTGCCCATCCAGCCACAGTACCCTGCTTTGTTTCTTGTAGAGATGAACCCAAAGAAGAAACTTTCCATGAAGCATTTGGATAGCTTAAAAAATATCTCCCCACCATGTGCACACACATTTCAACAGTTTTTTAGGAATTGGTTTGAGATAAGTTGAAAGTGTTCATCCATTAAGAGTGAGGGAAAGCTTCCTCAAGCTCAGTGACATCATTGTGTCTCCTGCTCTGATTGGCTAAGTATTCAATGACACCACCTTGTTCTCTTTGTGGTTCCCAAATATCTGGGATCTCCCATGTGATTACATCAAGAAGAGGTTGCAGTAACTTGGGAAATAAAAAATGGGTGCTAAAACTGGTAGTAGCAGGCTCCAAAAAGATTATATTTAAGGGGAAATGTTTCAAAAAATAAAAAACATTTTAACCTGAAAAAACCTGGAAATGGGTGAATATCTGGTGCAGCCCTAAATGTATCTTTGCTGGTATTTTATTAGCTTCATCCAGGTAAAGCTCAACCAGACTGCAACAGGGCTGTTCGCTCAAAGGTCCCAGAACATGTCAGTCACTGCACAGTTCTCGAAGGCCTTTGTGTCAATCACTATCATTGAGTGAGACCCCACATCATTCATGGGCCCAGATGTTTTTTCCTGAATGCTACTGATTGCATCTTAGCAACTATAGCCTGGCAGGTTTGTGCTATTCTTAATGTGTTATTTCTTTTGCTTTCTTCTCACTTTGTGCATGAGACCTCTATACACTGAATTAGACTCAGTTTCATCTATATTGAGGTGGACATTATGGAGCCCTCCAGATGTTGTTTACTACAGTCCCTATACTGTATTTTTTGCACCATAACACTCACTTTTTTCCTCCTAGAAAGTAAGGGGAAATGTCTGTGCGTGTTATGGAGGAAATGCCTACGGGTGGCATGCCTACGGATTTTCCTCCTCTAAAAACTATGTGCATGTTATGGTCAGGTGCGTGTTATAGAGCGAAAAATACGGTAATTTCTGTTAGCTGGGGCTGAAGGGAGTTGGAGTCCAACAATATCTGAAGAGCACTACACTGAGTATCAGTGTTTCCCCAGATTTCAGATAAGTCTTTCTCAGCCTTACATAGATATGCCAGAGATTGAACCCAGAAGTTTCTGGGTGCAGAACATATGCCCAGTTACTAAGCCATGACCCTTCCCCACAGACTTAGAGAGTCTTTGCTCCTTCATGAGCAAGATGCTATGCACTGTCCCAGTGATCTTTGTTGCATTAAACAAAGCTGATGTGGCAAATATATTAATCCAGCATGATCTATCATCCCTTCCAGTGCAAGTCTGCTTGTTTTGTTTGTTTGCTTGCTTTTTCTTCACAGTCTGAGTCACTTTTGTAAATACATGACTGGGATAATAATGTGTTCAGGGATTCAGATTTTTATTCAGACAGTCTGCTGAATACCAAGGTGAAAATCAATATCTGAATCCCTCTTTCCCTTTCTTATAGTTCAGTCAAAAGCCAACCAATTTAAATTTTAGAAAAGAGAAGGGTCATTGAGGGTGTCACTTCCCTTCTTGAACTTCCACAAATATGTAAAATTGTACTCTGATTTTTATATAATATCAGCACAGCTCTTTGATTCAATCTAATTTGGTGCAAAGTAATGGAATTGATTGCAGTAGGCTTGGTTGATAAAAACAAATGAAAGCACTTCCCCCCACAATGCATTATTACCTTACCAAGCTAAGAACTGAAAGATGTGACAGAAAGATGGCCACAAGTTTAGATGACTTTATAAAAGGATCACCGTATTTACTTGAATCTAATGCTCACCTTTTTTTTTTTTGCCAAATTACAATAAGAAAATTAAGGTGGGCATTAGATTCGACGGCACATTTACATTCACACATACTTTTTTGGTTTTGTTTCAAGGTTCTGAAAACTGAGGTGTGCATTAGATTCAATAGCACATTAGACTTGAGTGAATACGGTAAATGAATTCATTATTTTTAGCCGTAAACAGCTAATGGACCCTTCATGTTCAGAGGCAGCCTATTTCTGATTGCCAACAGTTAGGGGAAAGCAAAAATGAATGACCATCATCTTCATGCCCTGGGTGGATGTGTTTGGAAGTACAATGCTGGAGGGGATGAACTTCAATATAATCAAACACAACATCTGTGCACTTCATAGACAGCTTCAATTTTGGTTCCCAGTGGGTCCTACTGAGTTCTCCAGGATGACCGTGGCCAGCAAGGCAGATGGGAAGGGAACAAATCTTGTTCCCTCTAAGAAACTGAGATAATCAGAGAGAGGCTTTGACCCACACATGTGTGAAACCTCCACTCTAATGGTGTCCCTTTACTTTGTCTGCATAAAAGAACAGTTACCGTATTTTTCTGTGTGTAAGACTAGGTTTTTCCCTAAAAAATAATGTCAAAAATTAGGGGGCGTCATACATGGGGCTATCTCCCTCCATTTTCTTAAATCTGAGTCCCCCAAAATAGGGGGCGTCTTATACATGGGGGGCGTCTTATAGAAGGAAAAATACAGTATTATTCCATCTTATGGGGAAAGGCAATGTAAGGTACTTGGGGTTGCTACTGGGACAAACCATGACCCCTGCCACTGGGTGGCCCAGCTTAAGAGCTAGTCCCACTCAAATCAGTGGGATATACGTCCACACATAGACCTTACATTCAACAGCATCAAGCTATAAGGCCTTATTCCACTGCTAACCATCTTACTTCAAAGTAAATCTAGTTTATTTTAATGAGGGTTTTTCTTCAGAATGAAAATGTGTCACCACTGATCTTATTCTTGTATTCATGAAGGAGTGTCTCCACCCGCTTCAGTCAACCCAGACACTGAGGACCAGCTCTGAGGGCCTTCTGGTGGTTCCCTCACTGCGAGATGTGAGGTTACAGGGAACTAGGCAGAAGGCCTTCTTGGTGGTGGCACACACCCCTGTGGAACTCTCTTCCATCAGATATCAAGGAAATAAACAACTATCTGACTTTTAGACAACATCTGAAGGCAGCCCTGTTTAGGGAAGTTTTTAATGTTTGATGTTGTATTCTGTTTTTAATATGTTGGGAGCAACCCAGAGTGGCTGGGGAAACCAGCCAGATGGGTGGGGTATAAATAATAAATAAATAAATATTATTATTATTATCATTGATTTATTAATTGCCTTCTAAACAACAGTCTGAAGGCAATTAAAGACAGTTAAAAACTGTTAAAAACTGTGTGGTTCAGACAAAGGCAGTGAAAGTTCCTCCCAAACTGTTGGAAAGGATGTGGGGGAAAGGGAACTTATACACATCTTTGGTGGCAATGTCTACAGGTAGATACCGTATTTTTCGCTCTATAAGCCGCACCAGGACACAAGACGCACCTAGTTTTTGGAGGAGGAAAACAAGAAAAAATATATTCTGAATCTCAGAAGCCAGAACAGCAAGAGGGATCGCTGTGCAGCGAAAGCAGCATTCCCTCTTGCTGTTCTGGCTTCTGGGATAGCTGCGCAGCCTGCATTCGCTCCATAAGACGCACACACATTTCCCCTTACCTTTTAGGGGGGGGAGTGAGTCTTATAGAGCAAAAAATACGGTATTATCTGGAATAGAGTGCTCTCTAGAATTATAGGACAAGCGATTGTGAATGTCCTAGTTCTTGCCACAAAACACACAAGAAGAGGCTCTTACTTGTAAGTAAGAAAGAGATATTTATTCAGCCATATAACTGTACAAGCTCAGCAGCAGACACAAGGAATGTTGGGATTGCAAACTCGTATTTCCTTGGGCTGGGTAAGTCTGCTCCCATCTGCAAAAGCAGTGTCTGGTTTTAGGTGCCAAGACTGCACCCTTCTGTTCTTACTCCTGTTCAGTCACTGCAGCCTCCAGTTCTGCCTCTCCCCCCCCCATGGCTGTTCCAAGGCCTCCCCAACCTCAGCTAAGATTCTGCACTCCACAGGAAACTCAAGGGGGAGAACCAACATCCCTGCTCCCCCTTCCAAATCAGGGCAGAAATGGGAGAGCCCCCTTCCTCCAACCTAGGTTCCCATCATTCAGGACCACCCCCCAATTTCTTCCTCATGCATCAGCAACTTCAAACCCAATCCAGATACTGATAGCACTGCAGGGCTCATGACAGTGAAAACTCCAAAACTAATATCGCTTTCTGCGTTTGAAGAAGTCAGCACACATTTGAAACCAAAAGTGTTTGTACATTTTATATTGGTTGTGACCAGACTTGCTATTACACAAAACTGGAAAGGTTATGCACAGCTGTATCTACCATATTTACTCAATTATAACACACACCCTTTTTGGCCAAATTACATCATGAAAATTAGGGTGTGCATTAGATTTGATGGCAGCAGAAAATACTTTTTTGGTTTCAAGGTTTTGAAAATTGAGGTGCTCATTAGATTCGAAAGCACATTAGATTTGCGTTTTTGGAAGTTAGCAGATCGTAGTTTGATGACAGGGAAAGTGAAACCAGAATACTATTTCACTGTGTGGAATGACTTTATTATACAAAAATATAACACAATGATAGCTCCCTCTGCGAAAATGTGTGTTTCAGTTTAGAGAAATAATAATCAGAATGATGACAGATAGAAATTATGAAAATTTGGGGCTAGCATGTAGGTAGGTACTTGTGAGATTAGCACTACCATTTCTAGTTATTGATGTCCACAATAAATGACCAGAAAGGGGTCTCCAATTATATTTCTACAGAAAAGAGTAAATACAAAGTTACTTGCTATTGAACTATTTGCTCTTTAAACCAACTGTTTTACAGTTTTATATTGTAAAATTTCTTAATTTTATTATGTTGTTTAGTTAGAAGGGCTGTTAACTAGTGATTCACCCACTTCTTCAGTAGTACTAATAGCACAGGGTTAGATTCAGCAGCAAACAGGCACAGAGGCCTTCACTGCATAATTATCTACTTTTTGTGTTTTTAAGTAAGTATAAGGCTCTTCTCAGCTTTCAAACCCATTTCCACCAATACCTTAGATTGCTGTGAAGTCCCTTCCACAGCCTTTATGGTACCAGACGAATTACCGAACATTTATCATGAGGTCTAGAACCGTGATGCTGTTCATCATGGTATCTAGGAAAGTTGAAGGTTGTTGTTTTTCAACCGTTTGAAAAAGAAGCGAGAAGAAAGGGAAACTGTGAAAAGCGCCTTTGGCTATTTTGATTATTCCAAGGCCTGAAAGGAGCTAGGTGACAACACAGGAAACCTCCCTCTCCCTGATCAGAACAAGATTCATTCCAACGCAGTCGCAGACTTTGGTTGTTTCTTTTTTCAAGGCTACAGCAATCTGCAGACCATAAATCACCTGCCCAGCTGCAGCCCTCCCCTTGCCCCGTGTTTCCAGGGCTCTTTGCAGCACCGACCCCGTGTGCAAAGCTGCGCTTCTTCGCCTTCTGTTTCATGGCTCACATCCCTGGCTTTTCAGCTGGAGTGGAGCTGAATATTTTTTACAAGCAGGCGTCGAGTGATCTATTGCTTCTTGGGGCATAATTGTGTGCGTGCGCGCACGCGCTCTCACCTACCTGGATCTTTTTACGCACTCAACCTCTGGATCTGCAACTGATGCTACACGTGTGCCCTTTTCTGCCCCACCCCCCGGAGGGATCTACCTCCTGCGTTTAGCCTTTGTAGCAGAAGAAGGTCGCAGGGTTCACTCCGAAAGGTCCTTGATCCGTGACAAGCGTGCCTTTTAACGTGGGAAGAGGCGACATTGTTCAGGGGGCAGGGCTCCAAAGTGTCGGAGCGTTTTCTCCCCCTCCTCCTCCTCCTCCAAAAACAAAAAAGAGAAACTTTTTGCACACAACAATTAATATATTCGCGTTTCCTCCCACTTTCCCAATGGGCTACCAGCTGCAAAACTCCTGAATAGCAAGCTTAATTGTGTTTTGTCATGCAGAATACCTCCCTTTTCTATAGGGTGGGGAAACGCTGCGAAGGGGAAGGGGGAGAAAAGAGAAACAGCTTTTGGAAGATTTGGAGTGTATTTCTTTCTCGGCTAGCACGAGCTCATTTGCATGGGTCACCTCTTCGCCTGCCAGACCCAGGTAGCGCCCCAGCCCCCAATCCTAGATGTCACACGATGTCACACGCTTTCTGCTTCCTTACAATACTTATTTTTAAAATAAAAAAATACCATCAACGACTCCATTCCGCTTCCATTATATTAAATCCCATTTTATTAAGGATCCCTCGTTGTTGTTGTTGTTTAAAAACACACACACACACAAAACCCAGCAACTTGCTTTTGAGTGCTGGCTTAGGACCTGGGAGACTCAGTCACGAAGCTCACTGGGTGACCTTGGGCCAGTCACAAATCTCTCAGCCCTAACCTACCCCGCAGGGTTGTCGTGCGGATTAAACGAGGATGTATATGCCACCTTGAGCTCTCTGGAGAAAAGGTGGCATATAAATGCAATGAATGAATGAATGAATGAATGAGTCGGTCCATCATGAGCCTCATGATCTCAGCGTCGTGGGTTCGAGTCCCACCTTGGGTGAAAGATTCCTGCATTGCAGGGGGTTGGACTAGATGACCCTCGGGGTCCCTTCCAACTCTTACAATTCTATGCCTTTTATGCCTTGGATCCCTCGTGGCCAGAAGGGTTTTCAAAAATGATGATGATCACAGAATCACAGAACTGCAGATTCTATGGAAGGGACCCCATGAGTCATCTAGTCCAACCCCCTGCAATGCATGAATGATGGTGATTCAAGGAAGCCTCTACTTCAGTGCTTTAATAAAATCGAAACCCTGTATTAGGGCAACGGCTGGCTCCAAGCGAGATGCTCCTTGCCTCGCAGCCCAGTCATAGAAGACACGTTTACTCGGGAGTAAGTCCTCCGGTTTTGCTTGATAATTGCTGTTAATTATCATGTTTATCTAATTATTAATTAGCGAGCTCCTCCTCTCCTTTCTGGAGCCTCTGTTCCGGGGGGGTTGTCTAATAATCTCCCTGTTCCTTATTTTTTGGGTGCTTAGAATCCATCCTCCTGACACGTTCATCTGATTTCATTTCGATATAGCCTCCTCTCCTGGATGTAACTCCACTAAGAATATGACTATTTGGTGTGTTTGGGTGGGGGGTGGAGAGAGAGAGAGATTCAAACCAACATATTCATGGCCTGCCTTTTCCCCCCGGTGACATATTGTGTGAGTGGACGTGGGAGTTGAAAAAGGAGCCATTGATTCCCGGCCGTGAATGAGCCCGCATGAGGGCTCCGCTTTCACCTGCCTCGGAAGGTGGCGAAAATGCGAGCAGAAGAAAAACAACAACAACAACCCCGCGTTAAATTAAGCGAGGGTTAATCTCCTCGCCGGCTCCCCTCCGCCGCCATCCCAAACCCTCTCTCTCGCCCCTCGGGTCCGTTGGGCCCTCAGGACTGACCACGAGTCGGTGGCGAGGTGGCCAGGAAAAAGGCGGGAAAAGAGCTTGGGCAGAAAACTCCAAAAGGCTGCGCCTGCCTAGCCCTCATTTACTTGAGCAACCACGTCCCTCTCGCCCCGGTGCTTTCTTGTTGGCTCCCCCTTTTCCTCACACACCCTAATGCAGATTTTCTGTCACACAACTCTCTCTCTCGCGCGCAGAGGACCATTCATTTCCACGAGCATCCCCCCCCCCGTTTTCCTTTGCCACAGATACCTATTTACTCGCACCATTCTGACTGACTCTCGCCTACGTCCCCTTGCCCCATTCTCACAGTAACTTTCTTTCTTTCTTTCTTTCTTTCTTTCTTTCTTTCTTTCTTTCTTTCTTTCTTTCTTTCTTTCTTTCTTTCTTTCTTTCTTTCTTTCTTTCTTTCCTCACAAGCGTATCCCCCTCACTCCCAAGCACAGGCTTCCTGTCACACAGCTGCCCCTCACTCTCCCAGTTCCCACGCATCCACTCACACGTGTACAAAGGCACGACTGTGCTTCCCTCACATTCACACGTGCTCTCTCAGCTACACTCAGCCTGGCATCCATTCATTCGTCCCTAAGCCCCCTTCTTCTTCTTCTTCTTCTTCTTCTTCTTCTTCTTCTTCTTCTTCTTCTTCTCCTCCTCCTCCTCCTCCTCCTCCTCCTCCTCCTCTTCCTCCTCCTTCTCTCTCTCTCTCTCTCTCTCTCTCTCGCACACAGTCATTTCTGACGCACAAACAGTCCTCTTTCTTTTCCTTGAAAGCCCACCTCCTTCCACTTCTTTTGCCCTCCCTCAAGCACTCGAGAAAACCTTTCTTTTCCTCAGCAGCCTCTTCGCCTCACCTAAGCAGCCCCCTGGATATGGACTCCGCTTTTCTCTCATGGAAAAAGTCTCCTCATTCCGGGCTCATGAGGTGGTTAATGTAGCTTTACCCCCCACATACCAACACAACCCTCCCCAAGGCCTCTTGGTTTCACAGGGTGGGACTCGAAATTCGGCCCAGGCATGTGGGAATGGGGAAAGCCGTGTACACAGTGGCGTAGCGTGGGGGGTGCAGGGGGGGCCGGCCGCACCGGGCGCAACATCTGGGGTTAGGGCAAATCCACGGGTTAGGGGGCGCAAATCCACGGGTTAGGGGGCGCAAATTACTTGCCTTGCCCCGGGTGCTGACAACCCACGCTACGCCACTGCGTGTACAGAAGTGGGTCCAAAGTAGTCTGTAAAGAGTGGAATGTGGTTTGTGAACATGGCCTCATGTAGAAAGGAAAGGCAACAGGGTTTTTGTGTGTGAGAATACCCCAACTAGTTTAACTTTGTCAAGATTTTTCAAGTGTTTTGACTTAAAACGCTGACCCATATATGCATATGGGGTTATAATGCTGCCAATGTTTCTGAGGGGTTGAGTCTAGTTTGGTCTTTCTCTAAGAGGTATGAAGAGTCAGAAACCAAAGAGAATTTGGGGGAATCCAAGCACCAATAGTAGCTCCAAACCTTCATTAAGACCCCTTTAAAACATGTCCTCCACTCAGCCAAATTATTCTCCTCAACTGAGGAATTAAGGATTCCTTCCTAACTGATCCCAGACGGCTTTGCTCCATTTTCTCCAGAGCTTAAGAGTCTGCATCCCACTTTTCTGCAACTCTGAATCCCTACATTTTGTTTGACTTTGGCAAGCAAAACAAAACAGCACACGCACACCCCAGGTCAAATCGTCCATCCAGTATCTTTCTTTTCCCTTAAGCGGATTTTCGCCCTGGAGTGCCCTGGCTAAAGTAGCTTCACTTGAAGTGTCATCCCCTTAAATTTCCTTTCAGCCTCCAGTCTCAAGGGAGTCGGGAGTCACTTATTGGAAACGGTGATGCTCAATACAAAGTCATCAAAGCCCTCTGGTTCTTGTCTTGAAGTGACAGGCCTCCTTTATTGGGCTGCTTGAAATACGCCTCCTGTTTTTCAGGGTCCCTCTATCCATCTTTGTCTGTTCTTCAGAGAAGAAGGCAGACAATAAAAAGCAAAGCCTGGCAAGCTCCCCACTCTCAGCCTTGGGCAGTGCCAACTGCAGCCTCACAGCAGATTGAAATTGTCACCCCTTAATTAATCTGGAACTAGTTATGTTCCACATGGGGAAGTGTGTGGTGGGGGATGGGGTGCCTGTTTAGATATATATTTGCTGCTCCTCTTTGGATATATTCTTGCAGTCAGGTTAAGTAACACAGAGATAACCTTAAGGGATGCCTTAATGCCTCCTGGAACCTTTTTCATATTATGTATATCCAGTCTTTTGGCAGCTGGATGCCCAAGGAGGTTGTTTTTAGTATGAGGACAAACTCATAAAATTGCCACGGCAAATGGTAAAGCACTTTTTATGTCTGCATTCCTAAACACATGGCTTAGGGAGTCATTTCCAAGTAACTGTGCTTAGGACATACCTGTACCCTCAGTTATTTCAGTGGTGATTGTAGGATTTAAGGATGCGATCCTGTGTGTATCTTGACTTCAAGGTAACACAACTTTAACTCAAAGAGGCTTGTTTCTGAGAAATGTACATAAAACCCTGGCAGTAAATATTACCCATTGAGATCATGTTTGGCTCTGTCCTGGCAATTTTTGAAGATCTACAAATAAAATAGCCTATATTTGTTTAGTCGAGCAAGCTCCTCTTTAAAACAACAATAATAATCCAAAATCTATGGGCAAACTCTGGCCAATGTAAAAATGTTTCATTTCAGGTCAATCCCAAACCAGTTAACATACTTGGATTTAAACCCATTTATTCCCAGTGAAGTCAGAAAATTGGCTAGAATCTGTGGAATGGAGGTATTGAGGCACCATCTTTTGAGTTTTAGTGGATTGGGCTTTTCCCGCCCAGTCTTCCTAACCATATTTACTCTGGAGTCAAGCCCACTGAGTTGAATGAGACCTACTTCCTCCTAAGCCTGCGTAGAAATGCTTGCAGTAAAGTTTACCATTTGCAGATCTTCATTCCTATCTTTTGACCAAGCATTTTGCAACTCATAATTACATTCAGCTTGAACTTCAAAACTGTCTTCTGTTACCGGCTTGTTTTCATGTGCAGTTCATAATATAAACTGCCTGTGGAAAACCTATGAGCAAGATGCTCAAGAGCAAGCCAAAGGGATACTTCCAAGTCCTACTGATGCCAAAGTGGGAGTTAATTAAGTTCTTAAATGTCTTTCATTAAAAATATGTGAGGGCAGAAAAGTGTTTGGTTGTGGCTGCCTGGTGCCAATTGTTATTTGAATATAAAACTATGGGTCATCAAATCCAATAGCTTTTTGGAGAGGAGGGGACCAGAATTCTAATCTCATTTAAAAAGGTAAAGGGACTCCTGACCATTAAGTCCAGTCGCGGACGACTCTGAGGTTGTGGCGCTCATCTTGCTTTACTGGCCGAGGGAGCCAGTGTACAGCTTCCTGGTCATGTGGCCAGCATGACTAAGCTGCTTCTGGCGAACCAGAGCAAAGCACGGAAACACTGTTTACCTTCCCACTGGAGCGGTACCTATTTATCTACTTGTACTTTGACTTGCTTTCGAACTGCTAGGTTGGCAGGAGCAGGGACCGAGCAATGGGAGCTCACCCCATCGCGGGGATTCGAACTGCTGATCTTCCGATCGGCAAGCCCTAAGCTCTGTGGTTTAGACCACAGCACCACCCATGTCCCTTAATCTCATTTACTTCCAAGCAAATTCTATTGTCTTTAAACTTGAGGGTATTCAAGTGCAGAAGGGGTGAGGTACAACGATTTTGTACCAGAATAAATTATCTTCACAAGAGAGGTGTTTGCATCAAAGGTAACCTCAAAGAACGAGCTCTTTAGTTGTATTTTTGTTTCCAGGAGGAAACTTCATAAAGTTTGTCCTTATACATGATGGTCTTTGGTGTCAATACACACACACACACACACGCTGAACTGAATACTGGATCTCTGCTGGAGGAGCACACTTTATCCTGGGTATAATCACACCAAGACTCTGAATTTGGAAAATAAGAAAGTTAAGTTTATTTAATAACTGATAGGAAAGACCTACCTACCTAAGGTGGAGATACAAAGAGCCATGCTTGCTCTTTGTTCTCAGCAGGAGAAACAAACAAATATGTGTTTTCTCCCATGGTACAGATGAAAGAAGAAGGAACAACTTGAAGAGTATCAGTCTAACACTTGAGGGAAGGTCAGCACAAATTAAATCAGTATTTTCCAACCTTTTGTGGGGTGTAAAACACAGAGCAATCAAATACAACATTCCTAGAGTGGACATTAAAATGGGATGTCTGGACCAGCCAGTCAGAACTTCCTGTTTCCTCCTGGGCTGGGATAAACTTACTCTACATGTGACCAGAGGTGAGCGTGCCCTCACCTTGCTCAGGTAACCAAACAGCACAGGGGAGGCAGCCATCTCTCTTTCTGACTCCATTCCTCGAAGAAGCAACATCTCCTTAGCCTGAGATGCCCAGCCAAGGGAGGACAAAGGAACTATCTAATTATGGGATAGATTCCAGGTGTATATATTTTGTAAATTAAGTCTGCCTTCTGGGGTCCATCTGTGAACAGAATGTGTGTGAGTAAACTATTTTATACTTTTATATAAGACTGTGTTGTATCTATTCTTTTAAGAGGAAATAAAGGGGATTTACCAGGAAACTTATTTTAGAGGCTTATGCCTGGCATATGACGTTATCCGCTGTGAAAGTTTAAAAAAGGGGAATGTTACTCTGCTAAATTGTAGAACTTGTTAACACAAGTTGGGAAGGATATAATTAGACAATATATCCTCTCCTGCCTCCCTGAACATTCCCACACCTTTTTCTGACCATAGCCTTCTTTCAACCTTGTCTTCTTCCTGTGGCCCCACCATGGGCATTGGTGGGGGGGCAGGGGGGCAGCTGCCCCCCATAAGTAAAAATGAATAAAAATCAATACAAATAAGAGGTTCTGCCCCCTTAACGAAAGACTGGCTTTCTGTGGAATTCCAAGTGGCTTTTGGATTGGCAGCCCAAAGGCAAAATATAGGTAGAGGGGGAGAAGAGTGATGTCTATGCCATCAGCATTCGCGTGCTGCTCAAACTGGCAATTCACAAAAACTAGTTGGATAGTATCCTATCCCAATCTTTGACTAAAGCTCCAGAAGCAGATCTGGTGAGACACTGAGGTCTTCTCAACTAGTGTCCCTGGTGATAGATAGAATGTAGGGAATGAGATGTTGGGAGAAGGTGAGGCCTATTTCCTTGACTTGGGTCAGCCACAAGCCTGGCTGGAAGCAAATGTGTGGCAAGCACATGCAATACAGGGGCTAAAAGCAAGGAACCTAATGTCTCAGCAGCGCGAGCCAGTACAGTTTCGGGCAGAGACAGTTTTCATCCCAAACCCATGGGCATTGATGAAACCCTTTAGCACCATTGTGTATGAAGCACTTTAGTGCTCCTCCTTCTCAGCCCATTCAATTTGGTCAGAATTCGTAAGAGAGTACAAAAGAAAAAGGAAATTAGATATATTGGATAGCTTTAATAATGCAACATGGCCTCATGCTCTTCACAAAGTATGTTCTACTGGAACCAACCAATTGATTTTGGTTGGGGGTTGGGTTGCTATCCTGAGGAGGAATTTAAGCAACTTGATTTTTGTGGAAACCCCAGGAGCACCTTGCACAGGTGATTTCCGGATGGAAACCCAAACCAGCCTTAGGCCACAATTGGCAATATAAACACTGGGCACTGCAGAGCTACCATGGCGCCTCTCATTTACAGTGCATTTGAAAATGCTTATAATTCTACACAATGCTTAGAGAGTCAGCTGGAAAGGTGGTGGGGCGAGGCAGAATTGGTCTGCTTAAGCTCCCAACAGCCTAGAATGAAGGTGGAGATTAGGATTGGGGCAGGGAATGCAACCTGTGTCCTGTATTGCTATATCCCAATACCAAACCTGAGTGGTTCCATCCCTATCAATTTGGGAGCAAAATCCTAAATAAAGCCATGGTTTTCTCTATAGCTGGTGGATTCTGTAAGTAGCCAGAAGATGTTAGATGTTATTCAGTGCTAGTCCCTACTCAGAGTAAACTCAGATGACTAACATACAGTTGCTAATTTCAATGAGTCTACTCTGAGTAACGCTTGGTTGAATACCACCCAGTAGTTTGTAATTTGAAAAGGAAATTGAAACATACATACACAACATTCTAGCCAGGAACTGTGAGCTTCCAGGACCTTCAAAATGGGGAAGAGCAGGTGAGCAATGCAATGATTAGAAAAGGGAAACTGAGTTCAGGAAAGGGAATTGACCTGCTTATCCTGGAAGTAGCCTGGAAGTAGGGGTGAAGGTGGGGGATGTAGAAAAGAGGAGATGAAGTTCAACTCTCTTCAAATACCAAGATGACTAGGATGAGTAGAAAGCTTGAATTCTAAGTAGAATACTGCAAAATGTATAATGGAGGGCAATAATAGCTTCCCTATATGGTACTGTCTGTGTCTGCTGCACAACTATAGATTTCAAGTACAGAGAAATAGGGAAATTCTTATGTAGGTTGTCTCTTTCCGATGCATCTCTTAGCCATGTGGGATCAGGCTATAGAAAAGCAACTCCCATATGGCTCTGACTGCTCACCTTAATGGACACAGGGAGAAGGGCAAGAGGAGACAGCTTGTTTGGTTGGCTATCATTCCTCAAGCTGCTTCATGCAACTGAAGAAAAACTTTTGCAAGGCTGCTTGCTTCATTCTCCATCAAGAGCAAAGGGAAACGCCAGTTCTTTAAAGCAACAACACAACTCTGCAGTGGTAATTGGTGCCCCAACCCCACGCAGATCTGTGTATTCCGAGCTTCCACACAGCACATAAAATCAAGTGTGTGAGAATGTAGTAATCATCTCAGAACGAGAGGAGAAAAATTGCGCTTCTTGTATTTTTTTTTAATAAAAAAAACCTTGCCACATTATACAGGAAGGAATTGAGTGAGAGGAAAGTGAAAAGGATACATTTTCCTCTTCAGAAACACATACACTGTCCACCCCCAATCCTGGAGAGGGACTCTGATTAGAAAGGCATGTACCATGAGTTTAGAAATACTATATGGCATTTTCATGGCATTTTGCATCTCCCTCTGACACTGTTCACAACCCTCACAAAAATACACAACATTTTACATGTAGTTTCCCCACTACGCGGGTAGTGGGTTAAAGCCTCAGCGCCTAGGGCTTGCCGATCGAAAGGTCAGTGGTTTGAATCCCTGCAGCGGGGTGTGCTCCCGTCGTTCGGTCCCAGTGCCTGCCAACCTAGCAGTTCGAAAGCACCTTCGGATGCAAGTAGATAAATAGGGACCGCTTACCAGCGGGAAGGTAAACGGTGTTCCGTGTGCTGTGCTGGCTCGCCAGATGCAGCTTCGTCATGCTGGCAACGTGACCCGGAAGTGTCTGCGGACAGCGCTGGCTCCCGGCCTATAGAGTGAGATGAGCGCACAACCCTAGAGTCTGGCAAGACTGGCCCGTACGGGCAGGGGTACCTTTACCTTTACCTTCCCCACTTGGGCCAAAGCTTTGCACATCTGATGAAGTAACCCACAGGAACTTATGCCATTATGCAATGGATACTCTTTAAGGTGGCACAAGACTCTTCCTTGCTTTTGTTGCGACAGACAAAGATGGCTTGAATGGTCCCTTTCTCACTCTCCAGAAACAATCCCCCCTCGGCCTGTAAAGCAAGATGAGCGCCGCAACCCCAGAGTCGTCCGTGACTGGACCTAACAGCCAGGGGTCCCTTTACCTTTCTATAGAAACAAAAAGCTTCAGGTTCAATGCTGGCAAAAGAGAGGGTGGGGAGGGGAAAAATCCTTTAAAAAGTGAAAGCCACCGCACTTCTTGTCTGAACTCCTTTATTTAAATAAATATAAATATAAATTTAATATAAAACTATTCACATACAAAGGAGAGCACCGAACAACTATAATTCGGATTATTATTATTATTATTTTCCATTTCATATAAAGATCTGTACCAAAAAAAAAGAGTCTCAGACAGTATTTTTTTTCCAATTCCAGTTTCTAAACTTTCCCCCACAAACCCTGGAAGGAAGAAGGAACTGATATTTGTGGGGAGGAAGAAAGAGAAAAGGTGATTTTCCTCTCCCACCCCCTTAAGAGGGGAAGGCAGAACTGTGTGTTAACTGGGAGTGGAGGGCGGGGAACAGCCTTGCAGCTGTTTGTGTTACATTATAAATACCGTTTCAACTGAACGTTCATTTACATTCAACAAAATCTAGCACTAGGCCCGTGGACAGAGCCCTTAGGAGTCTGTTCTTCTTTGCAGAAGGCCCCGCCGGCTCAAATTGGCTGCCTCTGCCTGCGATCGCCCGTCAAGAAGTCCAAGGGGAGCCTTTTCATAAAGGGGAGACCTTGTCTTCGTTAGCCGAGGCCGGCGAGAGCGACTCTTCGTCCTCGGACCTGGAGTAACGTCCCGGGTTGCCGGTGCAGCTGCAGCCGCCGTGCGGATTCCTCTGGGTCCCTTTGCCTTCCTTCTTGTGCTTCACCCTCCGGTTCTGGAACCAGATCTTCACCTGCTTCTCGGACAGGTTGAGGTACGTGGCGATCTCGATCCTACGCAGCCGGGACAGGTACATGTTGGACGAGAACTCCCTCTCCAGCTCCAACAGCTGCGTGCTGGTGAAGGCCGTGCGCATCCGCTTGCCGTTTTGCAACTGGCTGGCATCCGAGCCTCCTGCGGGGGGGGGGGGGGGAGGTGGAGAACACACATACACAAAAAGACCCAGTTAGCAACCGACAGAAAGGAAATGCTAAAATGCTGGGCCTGAGCCTTGGAATATGTTTCCAAAACCCGGGCTGAGTCCTGGAATAAAGAACCAAAGTGGGAACACAGAGGGAGCCTTTCGCTTGGCCTTGAATAGCCACAAGTAGGGTGGCCCCCCAGCAATCCGCTGAGAATTTGGAGTCACTCGTTTTAGGAAAATGAAACACGAGGTCTTTAACTAGAAGCGCTGGGGGCACCGAACAGTGACTAGTTTGATCCCCAAAAAACAGGAGACATCAGAACATAATAATGTAAGAGCCCCTTTGGATCATACCAAAAGACCATCAAAACCAGCACCCGATTTTCCACAGTTGACTATGGGAAGCCTGCAAACTGCAGCAGTGCATGAGGAAAATACCCCCCCCCCCATTTTTGTACCATAGAGACTGGTGTTCATAGGCTTGGAGCCTCTGATCCTTGAAGTGGCATAGGCAGCCATGAAGACCAGTAGCCACCGACAGAGCTGTCTTCCGTGACTCAGTCTCATCCCCCTTTTCAAGCCATCTTAACCAAAGGTCATCACCAGCAAATTCCACAAATTTATCAGGCACCTGTGCAGAATGACCCTGTGATGGAACGACAGTCCATCCATTCTGCTGGAAGGCTCAGAGTTCTAGCACTATGTGTGGCAATTTATTTCTGCCCAAGCAGCTAAACCAGGTGGAAGCCAATGTAGCCTTTCCTCTTCACCTTTGCCAGGTGAAACTGAAACTCCAGAAGCTTGCACACCCCGCGGTTGACTGATATCACGTTATTATTTTACTCTAAGGAAGTGTCAGGGGTTAAGGCTGCCTTTAAGCCACGCGGCACGCCTCTGGACTGGAAGTCCTCCTATCCTAATTTCTTCTTCTGAAAGTAGTAGTTACTCAATGGTAAGTAGTAACTATCTGCTCCAACTGTTCTTAAATGAAAATCAAATTGCTGCATTGCCCATAGCTGAGTCCTGCTTTCAGCTGTTAGACTTCCTCTGGCTCGAAGTTTTCAGAGAGAAAAGCCTACTTCTTTTCGAGTCTCGCTAGCTGGAAATCAGGGGTTACAGTTCTACACCTCTTCAGTCCTTGCTTCGTTTTATCCGAGAGGGAGAACTCTTTTATACCCTTCTTAGCAGCAGACCTTTACAGCATTTTTAATTCTTTTACACCGTTGACAAGCACTCGAGAAACAAAGTGTCTGCTCGAAGGAAAGGCGCGCCCAGAAGGATACCTTTCAAACTCTTCATTCTAACTTCGGTATTATTAACTCCAGTTAGAAGGAACCGTTCAGAGGTTCCAGTTTATGCCTGCATTGATCCGGATCATCTATGCGGATTGCAGAAGCCAGTCCCAATGAGCTGCATGCACCTAAATTCTTCTCAAAGTAGCCCTGTGTCCTGATCCTGGATTGCAAGTGCAGACTGAGATTCTCAGAGCAGTCTTGTTGAACTCTGGTGCGCAGCTAAGATCAGAATAGGATCTTTCTCGAGCTACTGCCTCTTTTCATTGACTGGCTGCAAGCCTTGATTGGTTGAGGTTGCTAAGGATCGCAACGTGGGTCAGATCCATCCTTTACATCCGTGTCTCTGAGAAAGCTGTCCATTCTAAGACTGAATGTGCAATTCGTATCCGTCGAGCCTATTGCTCCGAAAAAAGCACATTTCACTGAACGTTGGATCCGGTCTGAAGGTGTAGGCTCAGACTGGGATCCTCAAGCCAATGGGACTACTCGCGACATAATGGCTTGGGGTTTGCCGCTATTCTCAGAAGAAGAGATGCACCCTGTAGCTTGATTCTGGTTCAGCCTGTGGCATACACGCGCTCTGCTCCATTCAGAATCAAAGACACGCATCTGGCTCTCTTCGGGTCGCTCTGAGTCGGAGCCAGCCCGGCCTCTGCACCTGTTCTCTGCGAGCCATGCAGCTCCATCCTCGCATCTTTCTGACCACTTATCCTCAATTAAGTGGAATACCAATCCCCAAATTGCTTTCTGCGAGATAATCCCACTCACGTCAAATCTGGCCAGGAGGAAACGGAGGACTGCAGTCTACAGGGTGCGGAAATACTTTAGTGTCCTTCCTGCACCGCCGCCTCACAACGTTACCTACAGTATCCAGATCTCACTTTAACAACTTCTCACCTTCGCGTCTAGGGAAGATGGAAAAAAGAAGCCCGCTAAACTAACGCGCCAGTCCTCGCACTTCTTAGCTTCTGAATTTCCCCACTGAAGGTCCCCTGGAGGGGAAGAGGTTTAGTGAGTTTAAGAGCCTAGGGCTCTTGATGATGGGCTGATCCCCACGAAGTCAGGGGGGCGTTTAAGGAGGTCCTTGCTCTCCTTGGGAGTCGGAGGGGGCGAGGGTTGCCTTGGAAGGATTTGAAGATGCTTTGGGAAGTCAGTGGGGCTCACTCTTGGAAACCCGGCAGGGAGCGGAATCAAATGTCCCTTGTCGGAGTAGGCAAGTGACAGGACGACGGACGGTGCTGGAGCTGGTTTATGGCACAACCCCGTCGGAGCAAACGGAAAGACTCCAGAGAATCATAGAATTGTAGGGTTGGAAGGGATCGCGAGGGTCATCCATCCGAACCCCCTGCAATGCAGAAATCTTTTGCTCAACGTGGGGCTCGAACCTACGACCTTGAGAGCAAAGATCTCATGCTCTGCCGGCTGAACTGATTACAGCTCCTTCAGGTTGGGGGCTCACACAGGTGCAACCCCCAGAGGGGTCTCCTCTCCCCGCTTAACTCTTGCGAACACGATCCGGAGCCACTCCGGAAACGAAGGGCTGCAGAAGGACCGCCTTTGGACTCTGCCTTACCTGGGGAGCCAACCTGTTACTGGACCTGTCCCAGCTATCCTTGCAACCACCCCGCTGCCCCCTGGATCCCCATCCCCACCTCCCAGTCCCCCAAAGGCGGGACGCGGCGGAGGAAGCTCCTACCCATGCCGAGGCAGTGGAATCGCCGGGGGTCGCTCATGCTGTAGGCGGCCGCTGCGCAGACAGGTGGGTGGCCCAGGGCGTGCGCTGCTGCCACTGCTGCGGCCGCCGCGGAGGCCACCGAGCCGGCTTGCTGCTGCTGCTGCTGCTGCTGCGGGGCTGGCTGCTGCTGGGCATGGCTCAGGCGGGGGCAATACTGGCCCTCGCCGGCCGCAGCGGGAGGGAAGTGGCCCTTGAGGAGCGGGATGGCGGCAGCGGCGCCCGCTCCTCCTCCTCCTCCGGCTCCTCCTGCCGCGCCCGCCCGGGAAGAGGCGTGCAGGTGCGAGCTGACACACAGCGGGCACACGCAGAAAGCGCCGCTCTTGCGCGACGGGCACGCCGGCCCGCCCGCCACCGACATGACCAGCGGCGACGGCACGCCCAGCGGGATGAGGAAGTCCTGCCCGGGGGGCGGGTGGTGGTGATCCGGCAACGAGGGAGCCGGCCGAGCCGGGTCCTTGATGATGAGCGAATCCACATAGAACGAGCGAGACATGGTTGAGGATCGGAGGCGCGCGGGCTGGCTGGCTGTGACTCCCGGCTGCGCTCTCTGGCTCTGTGCGCTCTCTTCGTGCGCTCTGCGGAGCCGGTCCTCCTGGGGCCGAGTCGCCTCTGCAAAAGCCCCTGGGCGAGCCCGGAAGGTGCTTAAGTCTGGGAGCGGAACAAAGGGGGGCTCTGGAGAGGGCTGGTCTTTAAAAAAAATCAAGCCACCATCAACCAACCCCCCTTTCCTTCTCTCTAGACCTCCCCTGGATCTCTCCCCCGCCCCCTCTACTGCGGGTGTGGGGATTTATAGCAACTATTTAACACGTGATGCCTGGAAATCGACGCGCATCTGAGGCTCCTCGGGCTTCCTATTTGGGAGCCCATTCAGGGGAGAAGTTCTCCCCCTTCCACCGCCTGGGGAAAAAAAGAAGGCAGAGAAAGGAGGGGAGCTTGCTTGGCAAGAAGCGCGTGTGCGTTTCGTTCATTTCATAGGGACTCCAGAGCTGCCGGCTATTCTTCTTCTTCGTCCCCCTCCATCACCAGATTCAGTCGACAGGCAAAAACAGCAAGTGCTTGGGCGCAGGTTACAAGTTTCCAGTTCGCAGCCCTAAAAAAAAAAGTCCGATTACCTCTGCGTCTTGGTGGGCCAACTTTGTTTCAACACAACAACCGTTATCTCCCGTATAGGACCCAGCATTACATCCGTTTGGTTCCCATTTTCACTCGTCCTTCATCTTCCATTCTCGTTTTGTTCGCTTTGAGCCTCTGTAAGCCCTCGCAGGTGTCCAAGGCAGAGCTCCTGCCGCTGCGACTGTCAGGTGCTTCCTCCAGAAGAGTCTCTTTTTCCAGGGGAGCAGTTAGGAAATGTTAGACGCTAGGCTTAGTGGTCCAGCCTACCACCACGACCACCCTGCCTTGAGATTTATGTTTTATTAGTTCAAAAGATGTTAGCCAGGAGCCCTGCTTGGTTTGGGGCCCGTTCTGCTCCTTCAGCTGAGTGGGGCTCTGGGCTTCTGCCTCGGCTGGGCTACTGGAGGCAACGAGCTCGCCTTTTCTAGGGTTTCAACCTAGAGCCCAGCTCCTGCGCAGCTCTCCTCTCCTGCGCTCTGCTCTGAGCATTGGCTCCCATGGACCCTAATGGAAGGCGCTTCTAACTCTTGCTTCATGTTCTTCGCTTCATAGTTTTGAGAAGCGCGCCTTAACGATCCATACATACGTAGAAAGCTCTGGTCTTACGATCTATTCTTAACATGGAAGAAAGCTCGTCTGAGCTCCGAGGGATTTGCTTCGCTATTAAACCGCATAGAATCGGGTTGGCTTGCTCAGTTAGCGGCTCTGGCGTGTCCACTGAACACAGAATACTGTGTAAATGTAGCGATAACTTTTTGCTGCCATAACCCCAACTATGTAACTTCAAAAAGCCGCCTTGCAGCAGCTCTTCCCTGCATAATATGAAGCTGGTTTTAGTATTTTAAACCCTTGATTTCTAATTTTTAAACGAGGTCACGATCGCACTTGCGCTTTCTCTGTGTGCGTGCTTGTTTGTATATTTATCCCCTCCTACTATAAGTATGAATTGAATTTACTTCCCGGTCGTCCAAAATGCCAGTGCTCCACTTGTCATTTGGTAGTACTTCTGTGCTACTCATGCCTGAGTACCTCTGACTGCAGTCCTATACACATTGTCCCATAAAGTTCAGTGCTATTTACTTTCGAGTAAACGTGTATAGCAATATCCTTCTCTGCACCCATAAACACGTTTGTTGCGAAATAAGTCTCACTGAACAGCCCTGAGACTCCGAATAAGCTTGCATGGAATGGTCGTATAATGTATTGATAGTAGTTTGAGAAGCGAGTTTGAAGCGTGAATGGGAGGAGGAAGATTACAGTGGAACAGAGAGCTTTCTTTTAAAAAGGAGCGCAACTCTTGCTGCAGACACCACCTGCTCTTCTTACGACTTACACCCCAGCCACTTACGTCGGTTTCCTATTTTAGGTGCATTTTTAAAAGGGAGGGGGGAGCTGATTCTATACATTTGGTGACATTGCACATGTCCTTGAAGACTCTCCTCACATTGCTTTGCTTTAAATCCTCTGTAAAGCGATACTGGGAACCCGAGAGCCGAGTCAGGATGCAATCCACACTCAGAGCAAGAAAGTGTCATTGAACTCAGTGGGACTTGGTCAACATTGTGCAGAAGTGATTTTGGTTGGAAGAGTGAGGCAGATTTGCGGCACGATCCTGTGAAATTCAGTTCCGGGGAAATGCGCCTATGATTGCAAACCTCTGGAGGAGAGTCCTGTTGAAACTGAAGCTTCCTGCAGCGCAATCCTAACTGCCCGATCCTATGCGAGTTTCCTTTGGTAGTAATGCCCAGGGAGGTGTGCCTAGGACTGTAGCCTAAGGATCCTCAGTGAATTCAGTGGGACGCCTTGTTCCCCCAGTCATTTAGGATTTCAGCCTTATTTCAAAGTAAACCGCAAAGTTGGTTCTAGGAGCTTTTCTTTTAAAAGCAAGCAAGCAGTGGATTTTGTCAAATTGGCAATTAGTTCAAGGCACAAAGGCTTAAAACTCCTCTGGATGCTTCTGGGCCAAAACGGAAGACTTTCAAGTCAAACTTTGGCGATGGTTGCGGGGCTTCACTCCGAAGCCTTAATGCAAAGAGAAAACGCCGGCCGGAAGGATGCTTTGATCTCCACCAAGTTCGCCGAGGCGATCAGGCCGAGGGAAATTGGCTAAATGGCGAAAAGGCGCGCTCGCTGATTCCTGAGCATTTCAGATTTCATTAGAGGACAGCCAGAGACACTTGGCAGCATATTACGCGATTTCCCAATGACCTGTTTTATGGGAGTTTAAGAAGCGGCTTATAGAGTTAATGGAGGGGAGATTGTTGCAGCCTTCTTGAGGCGAGAGCTGCCCATCCATTTCCACTCAACTTGGGGCCGGCAGAAGTCGACAAATTGCCAATGAAAGCACTAATAAAACCATGAATATGTAACCCCCCACAACCCGAAGTGGAGTGGAGGAGAAACTATCGGGTTGCAATCCTGTGCACACTTACTCAGGAGTCACTTCCACTGAATTCAGTGGTCATTTGTCCGAGTACATAGAAGGAAGGATATTATGAGAGAGAAGCCGTGTGTGTTTTGGAGACAACCGGTAGCTTTAAAATGTGAATCACAAGACACTTAAACGGGTTGAAAAGACAGGTATAATCTCAACCAGTTTCCTAGTTTAAGGAGACTGATTCCTTTCTCCCACCCCATCGCTTAAAAATTGGTGTGGATTTCACTCAGTAGCGCAATCCTATACAGTAAATACCTATGTACAATGGGACTTACTCCCAAGTAAGTATTATAAGGACTACAAAGACGTAATTAACCGAAGTTAGGGTCCGTCTTTTTTCGATCGGGGTCCTTGTTCTGGACTGGTGGTGGATCCATTAAGTTCGATGGCAGCTCAGCATCCATACCAGCCGATTCCTCCTCCCTTGCGAGGTGGGTCCGCGGATCTTCCATGCTCAACCTCCCTCCCACTCCAGACAATAACGGATTCTTCGGTTGTATTCAAGCCTAAGGAAGAGAAGCGAACGTCGACTGGCAGCCACCGGTACAACATGCAATGGGCAGTGCAGTCCTATGCAACAGGGTTTGCAACCAAGGCGTGGGATAGCAACCCAAGCAGCGAAAACCCTCAGCAAAGATTCTTGTGGCACTAGCATATTCATATTAGTTTTCGTGAACTAGAGTCCTCATCTTCAGGTACATGGAATTGTATCCTCTCTTGGAAGGTATAGTAGTGGACAGAAAGATAAGATGTAAACCTATGAGGTCCCTCGATGACATTGACGTGTACAATGAAGCGACCAGTTGCTTTGACAGAAAGACAGAAAGAGAAGACACGGTGCGCTTACTGGGTGAGGAAAAAGCTGGCATTTCTGCAGGTCGATTTCTTCAGCTCTTCTCAAATTTCTCTTTATACCCATCTCTTAAAATCAGCGAAGAATCTTGTGGCAGCTTAAAAACGAACCAATGTATTATGGCGTAAACTTTCGTGGATTATAGACTATACAGTAGTCCACTTTTATCAGTTGCATGCAAATATTATTCTGTCCCTCCAGTCCCGTTATGTGTGTGAGTACACACACACAGAGAGAGAGCTGTAGCTCAAAATAACAGTCCATACAACTGAATAAGTTGACTGCAGTCCACGAAAGTTTATGCTGTGGTTCATCTTTCAGTTGCGCCATTTTTGTTGAAACCACGTTACTGTCTGGATACTGTGAATGGGATCAAATGATATATGGGCTATCTGGATTTTAAAACCACCCCGAGCTCAGGTAATATCCCCGCACAGGGCTAACAAAAGGCTGCTCCGGTTACCCTCTTCCCCAACGTGGCGCCCGCCAGATCTTTTTTTGGAGCCCCAGCCCCAGCCAGCCTGGCCGATGGATCAGGGATTATGGGAGTGGAATTCCGAAATATCCCGAGGGCGCCACGTTGGGGGTGGCAGCTCCATGGATTAGGCTCGTCCCTGTCTGGAAGCTGCGATGGCCACCTCTGCGGCTGTCGGCGTGCCTTGCTTGCTTGCCGTCGCGTCGTCTCAAGGGAAGGATCGCCGGGTCGTCGGGAGTCTACTTCCTCGTCTGAGGAGGATTTATGGGTGGCAATTAAAGTTTTATGAATTGCAGCTGAGACCCGCGATGCCGCTATTCGAATGCGATTAGGATTCAATTAGAAAGTGTTTACTGGACGGTGGGGTCTCTGGAGGGTAAACAGGCAGCTATTCCAGAAATGTGCTAATCCAAGGTCTTGTGACAACAATTAGGCAACCAAGGGAGAGGCAGGTCAGCGCTGCTGAGGCCTTCCTGCTGCTGCTGCTGCTGCTGCTGCTGTTGCTGCTGCTGCTGGTGGTGCTGGTGGCGGTGGAAAGAGCAAAAGGAAACAGGAGTTTACTGGACAAGAACGTGGCATTTCCAAAGAGGGCAAGAGAGAGAAGCCTCAGACAAAGCTTCATTCGAGCTGTCGTCCGATCCTTGGGAGGGAAGTCCATTGGGTAAAAGGCGACTCTGTTCCCAGCAGCGCACAGTGGATTGCTACCTGATTTTAGTCCTTGGTCAAGGTTCCTGGTCCTCCTTTAAGGAACCTTTGCAAGGGATTGTTCTGGGAGGGATGCTTGCGGCTGTCCGGATGCTGCTGGACTCTTCGGAGTCATTTATGCATGTTTGCATTTCTAGCCAGCCTTTCCACCAAGGATGTGCCTGCAGGCGACTCCCCCTTCTCAAGAATGCCCCCACAACAACCCTGGGAGGGGGAGAGTTGGTGGCTGGCCCAAGGTCACCCGGTGAGCTTCGAGGTCAAGGTGGGATTCGAACTCGGGTCCACAGGGTCCTAGTCCAACACGCTAACTAACCTCGACAACTCGAGGTTGCTCACCACCCTCTGTCCAGACCTCTGCATAAGCACATTTGTGCTTGGAAATCGCTAAAACTACGTCTAATCTCAGACACATTTTCTGTAGGGACGAAGGCTGCAATGCAATCCTAAGCATCCTTCCTAGTAGTGAGTAAGCCCCATTGAACACAGTTGGATATCCTTCCGAGTAAACATGCGAAGAATGGTGCCCTTTCACAAATGTAGGCCTGGACTGCGAAGAGCATTCCGTGGAACCAACTCCTTTGAGCGGAGTGGGGTTTACCTCTCAGAAAACATGACAATGATAGCCTTGGTTGGTTGGTTGGTTGGTTATTGTTCCAGTATTATTATTATTACCCCACCCATCTGGCTGGGCTTCCCCAGACACTCTGAGGACCTCCAGCAG